AACCTTTTTCCTCTGTGTTCAGATTCACCGAGTTGGACTGAAGAGCAGACCTGAGCAAAACTGCGGCCCGTGGGCCAGATGCGGCCCGCTAGGCTTTCTACTCCGGCCCACCCTAAACTGGTACGAGGTACGGTACAGACTGATGTCAGTCTTTGTGTTTCATACGTTATAACAAATCAACTGTAATTTCTGTTGGTTCCACTAGAGGGCGGCAGACAGTAAATGTGCCAAATTATCTTTCTAAGATTTAGGTTTATACTGAGTTCAACGCACTATTAATAAATTACTTAAATCACGATTAATCCACATCTACTTCGTGTTCAGTTAAACATTGTGACAGAACCAAAACTGATGATATGCAAAAATATATTATATATATATATATATATTGTATTATATTTAGATTTCAGGGACATATTTTCCCATTCTGCCTTTTCAGACAGGTTTTTCAACGTTCTCTTTCTCAGCGTTTCTCAGCGTTTCATCATCATCTTCATATTTTCACCAGTTGTCGACAGTCGAACAACCTTCACGATGATGCACTTTAGCGCTCGCTCGGCATTTCTGAGATATTTCCAGTGTGGAGCCACTTCAGCCACATCCACAGCAGCGTCGTCACTGACACCAGGAAATTTCCTTTTAGTTAATTGAGCTCAGGGAAATCTGACCGTGCCCAGCTTGTATTATAGGTTAGCAGAGAAGCTGCAAATGTGGCGGCCGTCTCGCCTCACTGTGAACCCCTGCCATGCTATTATTAAAAATGTCACCGTTTTAATGGACTCGACAAAGAGCGCGTGATGTTTTTAACAAGCGAAGCCTAAAAGGTTTTTTTGTTTTTTTTTTTGCATTTGAGTAAAAGCTACAATCACATCGTTTGTCACATGCAGCTGCACATGTGCACCAGAATAATATTCTAGATGGCGCTGTGCTATATTAAGACAGTTTCAGTGACTAACTCAATACAGTTTAACCCAAACAGCAGGTGGCGGTGAACTGTGAGATCGCAGTTATTTAATGACAGTATTAAAAAGTTCAAGCGTTTTTCAAACAACAAACAGAACACGTAAACAAATGACTCAATCACAGCCATTTTTACACACAAAGCTGTTGACTGTTACACCAGTGACCCCTTGTGGCGGAGGTGCACAGCTAAGCACAGTAATTCAGATATCACTCTGTAACGGAGAGAGACTCAGTTTGGGGGGAGAAATGAATCAGAAATGAATTATTTTACTACGTTTTTTTTTAATATTAAAAATTCAAAACACCACAGGGTGGCGCCCTTGTGCCCTTATTGGACCAGCCACTGCTGCTATAGATGTACGAAAAACAGAGCAATCAAGCAAAAATTCAGAATCTGAACCTTGCAGTACCTCCACCAACCCACTAGGGGATACAGAGGACCTAATATTTGGTGCGAAGGTTCGTTTAACCAGCGAAGTGAAAATCTTCCACACATTAAATCAATAATCGCTGACATCACTCAGCTTTGAAGATTGGTTCATGGATTTTTCTCCCAGGTGATTTTTTTTTAGGTGGAGCTTCACGGCGGCTCGAGCCCAGAGTGTTTTGTTTGATGGAGCGGGAAGTTAATTGAAGAGAGCCGTTCACTCCCACACTGTGTTTGCATTCTGGACGAAGCTGCCAAGAAGGCACTTATGATAAGATAAGATCCCCGCAGAACCACGGGCCACCGCGATCAGCCGAGGCCGACGCCGCTGTTACGTGTGCGGCGGAAAATATCAAACCGCCAGACATTTACCAGACCAGTGGCTCTGAGACGAGGAGTGAAGAGGAGAATCATTTTAAATGGATTTCATGCCAAAAGCACTTTCATTTCTGGCGGCGGTTCTTCACAGCCAGCAGGCCGTGTCATCGCTGCTCAGGTTTTTGGACAAAAAAAAAGACAAAAGGTTGAGATAATGAGAACGAGACACAGGGTTAGAGAGTCTACAGGAAAGAAGAGAGGCTGGGGTG